TAAAATTTAAGAAACTTTACATAAAAATATACATATATATAGGTGTAATTTTAAATTTAAATAGCTACTTTTATAGTCGATTTTTTTCGGTTATTTTTTTATTAAAACCAAAACCAAACCAAATTTGATTGGTTTTTAAAATTCAAAACCAAAACCAAACCAAACCTAAAAAGTATCGGTTCTTTTGGTCGGTTTGGTTCGGTTTTTCGGGTTCTTATGAACACCCCTACCTATAACAATAGCCACAAAATTGGATATAGATGGACCCGGTTCATCTGTTGATCAGAAGTTGTATAGGGGAATGATTGGTTCTTTTTTATATCTTAGTGCTAGCAGACCTGACATTGTTTTCAGTGTAGGTCTTTGTGCACAATTTCAGGTAAATCCAAAGGAGTCCCACTTGACTGCTGTGAAGAAAATATTGAGATACTTAAAAGGCAACACTAACCTTTGTCTTTGGTATCCAAAAGGGAGTAATTTTAACCTAGTGGGATATGTTGACGCTGATTATGCAGGTTTCCTTGTGGATAGGAAGAGCACCTCAGGTATGGCATACTTTCTTGGTTCATGTCTTGTGTCATGGACTAACCAAAAGCAAAATTCAGTAGCCCTATTTACTGCTGAAGCTGAGTATGTTGTTGCTGCTTCATGTTGTGCTCAATTGTTATGGATCAAACATCAATTATTGGACTTTGGAAGTTATGTTGGTTGTATCCCTATATTTTGTGATAACACTAGTGCCATTAGTATGACATAGAACCCGGTTCATCATAAGAGAACTAAGCATATAGATGTTAGGCACCATTTTTTAAGGGACAACTATGAGAAAGGTTTGATAACTGTGGAGTTTTATGCTACTGACAAGCAAATAGCTGACATCTTCACAAAAGCCTTAAGTAGAGATCACTTTGAGGGGAATAGGTTGGAATTAGGGATGATTAAGATTACCTAAAAGGACCAGTTCAAAGTTAATCGGAAAAAAAATTGGTTAAGAAAGCCTGTAAATTGTGTATAAGTAGATTAAATCTTGCTTAGTCTCATACTTTCAATAGTATACTTCAGTGGCATGTGCTAAAATGACTCATTAATCTCTAATGATATTTTCTCTGTTTTGGCAAATTTAGACTTACACGAGAGAATTTTCAGTGAAGAACCTGGTTCATCAAGATAAATAGGTATGTTTTCTACACTCTGCATAATTTGAAATAATAATATTTGGATCAAGAGCAGAGTCCTACAAAATTTCAAAGTTCTTTTGAACTTATCTGTTACAAGTGAACCAGTTCCGTTCAAAGACTCCTAACCGAATTAAACCACCTAGATATTAGGGATAGACTCCAACGTCTTTTCAAAACTGACATTCAGTTTGATTAGACTTCTAAAAGTCTAAAAATCCTGACTTTACCCATTACTTACCCCTCTTTAAATTGATCATCATCATCTCTGTCTTCACTCCACAATTTTCAAGCCGTCGAAATACTCTCCATCGTCTCTCATTCTCCAAATTTCAATCTACCTCTCTTTTCTTGCAGGACTAACCCTTCTGACAACCCCGACACACCCCCACCATACACCTCATCTTCAACCACTCCTCAACCTAAGAAAAGAAGAGTTAAGATGCTTGCTCACAAGAAAGTGGCTGGGAGGGAATTATCAAAGAAATTAGACGCTCAATTGACAGCCAGCCAAGCCCAAGAACCCTAGAACTCTGAATAATCCTTCAAGTCTGCTACTGAGAGGGGAGAAAATTCACAACAGGCAACCTCTGGCCCAAATACTACTACTGAAGTCATTTCTGAGTTGGTTGAGAATCTGGAGAACAAGTTTATTCTGGTTGGATCTGTGGTTGATGTAGAATATTCTGAGTCCAGAAGGATTGGTGGTATAAATAAAAAGGAAAAAGAAAAAGAGAATGAGGGTGCTAGTAGTGAAGAAAGGGGAACGGGTGAAAGAGTGGTTGATTCTTCACCCATTCTTGATACAAGAATAATGGTTGTTTGTGAGCAGAATCTGGTACAATGGAGGAAAGTGTGACGAAAATAGGGGGGAGTGGGTCTGGCGAATCCGCTGAAGGGCTGGTTAAAATTGGGCAAAATGTAGATGAACCTGGTTCATCAGTAGAAGAAACCCTCGTAGACCTATTGAAGAAAGTGAGTGAGAGCTAAAACCCAAAGAAGAAGAGAACTTCCATGGCTAAGACCTCTGGCACTACTAGGGCTAACAAGAAAAGAAAGGGTTCCCCTTCTGACACTGTTGAAATTTCTCCCACAAGAAGAAGAGCCACGAGAAGTCAGCTAAAGCAGAATGAGGCAGATCTACAAAGAGCTTTAGAAGAAAGCAAAAGAAAAAAGGTTGAAAAGGGGAAGAAGCTGGTGGGTGAGCCTGTTGAGGCTGTTGACGTTGATGCGATGGACCTGGTCCATCAAGATGAAGATGTGATTGAAGAGGTAGAGGTTCAGACTCTCAAACCCAAGAAAGCCAAGACTTCCACTAAGAAGTCTACTTCTAAGTCCACATCTGCTGAACCATCCACCCTGGTAAAAGGACCGGGTCTGCTGTGCAAACTAAACAAGTAAAAATTGCTGAGGAAGAAGAATGGATTGGAGTGGAGAGGAAGAGGAAGAGGAAGATGGTTCAGATACTGAGAAGGGCAAGATGGCCAAGTTTGGCAAGAGGACAATTCCAAAGGGTAGACTCCTCAGGAATTTGGAGGAGGAAGGGATGGTGCTGCTGTTGGAGAAATTGAAAAGCAGAAGATGGTACTTCCCAACCCATAATTTCACTCTTTCTGTGATCTGGTCGCCTTTTCTTGCAAAAAGTCACTATTTTTGAAGATGACAATGGAGTTTCCACGGACATAATCCAGCTTCATCTTGACAAACTGGATGATGTTTGGACTCGACAATTTGACAGTTATGATTATGTAGTTATTGCTGGTGGCAAGTGGTACCTGAAATCTGCAATTTACTATGAGAACGATCTCTCCTTCATACAAAAATGGAAGAGAGCAAACGAACCAAAATGTTGGACGAAGGAAGACAAAGTATGGAGTAAGAAAAAGAAGTATAAAATAGAATTATGGAGTAATAAGAAAGGGCATGGTTGAAAAGAAAAATAGAAAATAATCTCACCATACCAAATTGATTATTTCGAAAAATGAGATTTTTTATTATTTCGGAACAATGAATTTAACAATACAATACAATCAACTTTAGATAAAGAACCAAATTAAATATTATTTTAGAATAATAATACAATAAAATACAATGGGTAACAACCATCCAAATAAGCGGTAAGGTATTTTAATGTAAGAATCAATATTGCATGGATTAAAATATGTGCTTTTACTTAAAAAAATGTTTAATACAATAAAAATTATTTTAGCCATTATAGTTAGTTTAATCCATGTATTATGCATCCATATTCTTAGTCAACTTTTTATCCCATTTAACGTAATATGAAGATGACATTTATGCCGCAACAAAAACCACAACCACTTAAGGGTCATTTGGTAGGAGGTATTAAAAAAAAACAATGCAAATATTAGCTTTGCACATTACGAATTTCTTGTTTCGTATATTTTCTCAACTTATGTATAGTTAATACTTGTATTAGTTATATATCCTATTTGATATTATCCTATGTATAAAAATACATAGCAAACTATGGTATTAGCAATGCAAGGGTTTTAATACTTGCTTAAACATGGTTAAAGATAGCATTGCCCCTCGAATCCTTCAAAACCTGTTGCAAATACTTTTCACCATATTTTATATATTTTTATACTGTGATATTTTAATGATTCTTTTTCCAATGGCATTCTGCTATAATCAGAATAATATCATATTTAATAATATATTTGATTTTCAATTCGTTCAAAGTAAAAACTGAATTTTTTTATTTGTTAAAAATTTAGCCATTTTTTAATAATTGGTATTTGTATTATACGTCATAGAAATCAAATTTTCTTCCATGTTCACTTTAATATTTCAATTAGTTTTCTTTTTTAGTTTTGCTCCCCGGTAAAAAAGCTGGTCGTAGAGAGAATAAAGAATATGGAGGGTCATAAAAGTGTTGAAATAAAACTAGTGCACAACTTTAAAGAATGTGGAGAATATTTTTGTAAACGACCAATATTTTTAGAAATTATGCAATGCTTTAATACACAAGAACAAACAATGGATAAGAAATAACTTCAGCATAACTAATGTCACCATAACTAATCCTAGCATTACTAATATCATCATTACTAATACACCATAACAACGACAACAACAACACACCCAATACTATCGCACACCGTGAGGTCTGCGGAGGATAGTGTGTATTCAGACCTTACTAATACACCATAGTCTCATTATTTTTATGCCTCCTACCAAACAACCCTTAGTGTATTGTAACACTAAATTTTATATCAGTAATAAAATAGTAACCAAATAATACATTGCTAATGCTAAGTTTTATACAAGTATTAATTAATTATTTTCATATCCCATCAAGTGAAAAGAAAAAGTGATAGGGTGGGTTTGGCGCGGGTTTCGTTGGAAGTTTAAATCGATTGGGTCCCTTTGCCCAACTACTACTTGAGGAAGAAAAAGAAGAAGAACAAAAGTCTATGCATTAGTGTTAGGTGTACTAAGTCATAGAACTTTAATTGGAGAAAAGAACCACTTTCTGTTTGAGAGAGCATTTTCATTCTCAAAACTAATGTTTGCGTATAAGAAGTAATGTGAGTCCCTCTGTAACTCATATCGCAAGTCTCTGTCTTGGCAGGTTCTGCCCTCGGACAAGGTTAATGCCTGCTTGCCATGTGTCACATGGTGGACGAGAAACGAATCCTACCGAGCAGCAATTATCTCTGGTTTTATCTTCAGAAAATAAGAAGAGCAGTGTCTTTGGTGGATTGTCTTTACATCGTCCAGTGCACAAGAGAGATCCAATCGGCAAAACGTTTTGTTGTTTGTCAGGGCGTATACATATCCCGGGAGCATTGCTGAATCTCCTTCACAGACAACTGAAGAAAGATCGGGGTGCTACTTTTGAATCTTGGAGGACCAGACACGCTTCACGATGTTCAGCCTTTCTTGTTCAACTTATTTGCTGACCCTGTATGCTAGCAATCAGTCTAATCTCTAATTCCCTTGTTTCTTCTAAGCTGAAGATGTTAGAAAATATAACAGAATATAGGGACGAAATAATTAGGCTTTGATAGTGTAGTCATTGTCCTTAAAGAATTTAAGCCTCCCAATTTCCTTGCTGCAGGGATTATGGCAGAATTCCTCCAGGATTTTACAAAGCCTCTGAAATTCGAGCACCAGCAATTAACTCGAATTTCCACTTGAACAAATTTGGTGAATTGAAGATAGCAAAAAAGAAGAAGATACTTTGTTGCTTTTATGATGATTTTTGTTTTGGAGAAGAAAAGGGTATTTATAAACCCTTTAGGTGTCTGTTAGGACTAACGGACTCAACCTTTGCCAATAGGCACCTTTTAATACCAAAAGTCACCTCTTTTCAAACCCTTTAGGTGTCTGTTAGGACTAACAGACTCAACATTTGCCGATAGGCACCTTTTAAAACAAAAGTCACCTCTTTTTAAAATTAAAACGTTTTAATATTTAAAATATTTTTTTATTAATTAATTAAAATTAATAGATGACTAAAAGAAATAAATTTCGGGCTATTTAATTGGCCCAAAGCCCCAAGTGCCCAAGTGCCCAATCTTGACTATTAATAATATAGCCAAATTCTAGTTCCCTCCAAAACATCTTTAAATTATTCAAATCATGTAAGACAAAGAAGTGCTTTTAAACACTTATTCCTTTCTTTCTTTTTCCAATGAGGGACAAAGCAACCTCTTCTCAAATACTCCCATCAAAACACTAACTAATATAATAATCCCCCACTTAGTTAGTGATTGATGTTGTTTATAAGATTCATGCGTATAGTAGGTATCTTTCGATTTAAACCTACTACTTGTATAAACTATTCAAGGCCTTGTCGAAATTGATGGTTAGATTAAGTTCTATTACCACAATTCCTATTTGACAAGACGGAAAAGCTTTATACACATAAATCGTACCAACTTCACAATTTGTTTACCGTGAGTTTTAGCACCCAATTATGGCATTGTGCTACTTCCTGAATTCATAAACACTTATCAAGTTTTGTATCCCAAACTTTGATCGAAGCGGCACCACTTCTTGTGTTTACATAGGTGAAGATTTAACCAAATCCTTAACACGGACTTCTTTAGTTCCTAAACCGAACTCTGCTTCTTCACTAAGAGTATTTTTTATACTCATCCTCCTTTTCTAGGTACTAATTTCCAGTACCTGCTATCCGTCACAACTATAACTTGTTATTACCTTTTAAACCTTTAATATTGTTGAACAATAAGAAAGGTAAGGTTCCCGTTGCTAGTGACAAATTTAAATTACCTTAGACCCATAGCACTTGTTGTGCTTATTATCATATCCCTCGCGAGTCCTTTAGTGAATGGGTCAGCAAGGTTGTCTTTAGACTTGATGTACACAACAGTAATAATTCCATCCGAAATTAATTGTCTTATGTACTCATGTCTTAAAGCAATATGTCTAGATTTTCCATTGTATATTTTGCTAAATGCCTTAGACATATTTGCTTCACTATCACAGTGCAAGAGAACAACTGGCATTGGTTGTGGCCACAACTTTATATCTAACAACAGATTTCTCAGCCATTCTGCTTCTCTTCCTGCAGCTGCTAAAGCAATAAACTCAGATTCCATTGTGGAATGACTAATACATGTCTGTTTCTTAGAAGCCCACGAAATTGCTCCTCCACCTAAAGTGAATATCCACCCAGACGTTGACTTGTTATCACCAACACTAGTTATCCAACTAGCATCACAATATCCTTCTAACACTGAAGGAAATCTGTTATAATACAAGGCAAAAGTTTTTGTCTTTTTCAGATAACCAAGTACCCTCACTATACCTTTCCAGTGATCACCACTTGGATTGTGAGTATACCTTGACAATTTACAAACCGCAAAGGCAATATCTGGCATAGTACAATGTATAGCATACATTAAACTACCAATTGCACTAGCATAGTCTAATTGACTAACAGATCTTCCGGGGTTCTCAACCATCTTGCTAGAAGCTCAAACGGAGTATTAAATTCTTTAATACTCAAATGATTAAATTTGGAAAGAACCTTGTCAATATAATGAGACTGACATAAGGCAAAACCCCCACTATGTCTATTAACTTTAACACCTAAGATAGTATCAACTTCTCCCAAATCTTTCATTTTAAATTGAGAAGTTAAATACTTCTTAGTTTCATTTATGCCTTGCATGTTAGTTCCTATGATTAGCATGTCATCAACATAAAGACATACTATCACTCCATAGTCCTTTGTGAATTTAGAATAAATGCATTTATCTGCTCCGTTATGTTTAAAACCATTTGATAATATAACACTATCAAAATTTTCATGCCATTGTTTTGGAGCTTGTTTTAATCCATACAAGGACTTAACTAATTTACAAACTTTCTTCTCATTTCCAGGAAGCACAAACCCTTCGGGTTGCTCCATATAAACTTCTTCATCAAGATCACCATTTAAGAATGTCGTCTTAACATTCATTTGATGGACATTTAGATTATATATTGATGCCAAAGCAAATAATACTCTTATTGAGGTAATCTTGGCCACAGGAGCATATGTGTCAAAATAATCTACTCCTGCCTTTTGTCTAAATTCCTTGGCTACTAGTCTAGCTTTAAATGTTTGTAGAGAACCATCAGTATTGTATTTTCTTCTAAAAACCCATTTACACCCATAGGTTTAGTATTAGAAGGTAAATCTGCCAATACTCATGTACCATTTGATAAAAGAGAATCCATTTCATCATTTTCAGCTTCTTTCCAGAAAGAAGAATCCCGCGAAGCCATAGCCTCACTATAGGTTTTAGGATCCTCTTCTAAATTTAAAATAATGGGTATTTTATTTAATACTTCATCTCTACTTCCTTCTACCAAAAAGACTGGTGCTTGAGAAGAAATAAAATCAGAACCTATATTTTTTTCTTTTCTAACTCTTTGACTTTTTCTCGGTCCTATAGGAGATTCAATTGCCTTTCTTTTATTGTTAGAAGAAGAACTAGGTTCTGCATAATTTTCTTGAGTTACTGCATTATCACCAATGCTTGTTGCATTACCATCTTGTTTAGTAATTTCTGTGTCCTCATGTGAATTATTAGAGTCACCAATGAACTTTGTTTCCAAGAACTCAACATCTTTAGATTCCACAATATACTTAGACTCAATGTCCAATAATCTGTATGCCTTTGAGTTCTCAGCATATCCTACAAATATGCTTTTAATTCCTCTAGGTCCTAACTTAGTCCTTTTAGGATCTGGAATTCTATAATAGGCTAAACATCCCCATACCCTTAAGAAATTTAGGTTAGTCTTTCTTCCTTTCCATAATTCATATGGTGAAACCTTAAATTTCTTTGAAGGAACTCTATTATGCACAAAACAAGCTGTTAACAAAGCTTCCCCCCACAAATTCGTTGGTAACTTTGCATGTAAAAGCATGGCATTAACCATATCTACCAACGTTCTATTTTTTCTTCCTTTGGAGCTGTGACGACCCAAAGGGTCATCACCTGTTTCCTCATTCGTTCCGTGCTTCCGAGGCCTTGAAAACCTCATTTTTTACTTACCTCGATTCGCGTGCGCAGTCCGGGGCGCATAGCCGGAAAGCGTTTATGTTGAAATATGTGAACTTTGTGAAAAATTTGAAGAATTTTGATATTAATATTGCTAAAGTTGACTTTGGTCAACATTTTTGGTAAACGGACCCGGACCCGTGATTTGGCGGTCCCGGAGGGTCTGCAGAAAAATATGAGACTCGGGCATATGCCCGGAGTCGAATTTCGAGGTCGAGAGCCCGAGAAATGAATTTTTCTGTGAAATTATTTTTCTGAAATTCTTAAGGAAAATGGAAATGAAAATTGATTAAAAGACTATGGTATCGGGCTCGTATTTTGGTTCCGACACCCGGTACAAGTCTTAAATATGTGTTAAGCGCTTTCTGTAAAGTTTGGTCGAAATCGGACGTCATTTGACGTGTTTCGGACCTAAATATCTAAAGTTAGAAGTTTAAGAAGTTTGAAATGAAAATGATAATTTTGAGGCTTGATCCATTGAATTTGATGTTATTTTGGCGATTTGATCGCTCGAGTAGGTTCGTAGGATGTTATTGAGTTAGTGTGTGTGTTTGGTTAGGAGCCCCGAGGGCCCGGGAGTGCTTTCGGAGGTGTTTCGGGATGTTTTGACTTAGGAAAACATAGCAGAAATTCTGCAACTTTTTGCCCAGTGATTTCCTCTTACGCGATCGCAATCTTCAGCCCGCGATCGCGTACCTTTGGCTCTTTACTCTTTCACGTTCGCGTACTTGATCACGCGATCGCACTGCCTTAGCATTTCCTTCAATGCGTTCGCACCAGTAGGTTTGCGTTCGCATAGCAAGTTTTGGACCCCCCCCCCCCAGTATTCCCTTACGCGATCGCATTACAACCCACGCGATCGCGTTGACCATTCTGTGTAACCCTTCGCGATCGCATCCCTACATCCGCGATCGCGTAGGGCAAATTCGCCCAGTTATTTTGAAGCCTAAAAACAGAACCAGTGACGGGATTTCTCATTTTTTTTCACACGAGCTCTTCTCTTAAACCCTCCATAGACGAAATTCAAGCTCTCCTTCCGCCATAACTCTTTGGGTAAGTAATCTTAACATCATTCCCTCATTATTTCTTCATCTAATTACTAATTTCCTAACCCTAAATCATGAAATCAAGTAGAAATTAAGGGTTTTGGGTAGAGTTAGGTTTTTGGGAATTTTGGGTGATTCAACCTCAATTTGGGGTCGAATCTTGAAATAAATTATATATTTGAACTCGTGGGGTTATGGGTGATTGGGTTTTGATCCGAGCCTCGTGTTTGGACCATGTGGGCCCGGTGTCGAATTTTGGTATTTTTGGAAGAATGCTAGGAAAATTCATATCTAGGCTATGGGATGTTGCCATTGAGTCCTTATTGATATTATTGAA